CTCTGCCCGGCCCCACCGCCTCGCCTGGCCTCTCCGGAGCCCGGAGCACAGGGCTCGTCCGAGGCCAGTGAGAGGCCTGAGATTTAGGCAGCTTAAACATTCCAGAATGCAAAAGCCCGAAGAGAGGTCCAGACCCAAAGGGCAGCCCAGCCGCAGCGTGGGAGGGCTGGCGGGAGGGGCCGCTCCCGCAGGCCGGTGTGGGCGGGGGTGGACGGTCACGTGCGTGCACCCGAGTGTGAAGGGGGTACAGGCCAGGGGGGGCTTATCCCTGGTGTGACCCTGGCGGCTGATTTCACCTCTGTGGACCCCGACCTCCCTGTGGGTAAAGGGGCCAGCCGTGAGGCTTGGACAGCAGAGTCCACGCGGGGCTTGACGGGCAGCAGCCCGCAGGTCAGCAGCCGTGGCCGTGACCAGGCTCTCACCAGGGAAACGGCAAGGGGTTAGGCTGCGCCGGGGTCACACCGTCGCTGAAAAGCGGGGGAGCGGGGTGCGAGCTCGGGCAATGACTCCGTGTCCCCCCGGCCCTCCTGCCTCGGCCAGGACGAGCGCCATGTCTCTGAGCAGCACCTTCGGGGCTGTGGGTGACCACCCTGGCATCATCACCTGGAGGATAGAGGTGAGCTGGGGCAGCTTCCCCTCGCCAGGCCCTCAGGCGCCCCTGGCACCCGCCACCTGCTCCCTGCGGGAGGGACCGGGCAGGGACCGGGCCGCGTCCTCAGCAGCTCCCAGCAGGTGGCAGCAGGTGGAGGAAATCCCCTGGCGGCAGGGCAGGGCTCCAGGCAAAGACAAGCTTGCCCTTCCCTCGGCCATCTGCTCAGCCCTGCTGCCAGTAAACACCAGGGTGGGGCCTGGGCCCACGGGCTCCTCCTGCCACAAAGTAGAACCTCCTGTCCGGCCTACAGCCCCCTCCTCCCTCCCCGGGCTTGAGTCTGGCCGCCGAGCTCCAGGACCCCGAGTGGGCAGCCCCACCTGCCAGATGAGGCCCCTCCTGGCACGCCCAAGCCCCGCTCGCAGCCGCCGGGGCCACACCTCTGTCAGACCACTCAGATGGCTTCAAGTTCTACCGCCCCAGCTTATTTCAAAGGCTAAAGGGGCCACAGAACTGGGGTGGAGCAACGGGTACAGGGCCGCGTCTGCAGCCGCTGCAGCTCGAGCTCCCCCCGGCCAGGGAGGGACCCCGGGGCGCAGCAGCCCCCTCCTGTCTCCCCGCTGCCCCCTCAGCGGTGGGTCTCAGTGGACCCGCCTGTCCTGCTCCCCGCTCTGGGCAGTCCTCTCACCCCCGCATCTCTGGCCTGCACCCCAGCTCTTGTGTGCATGAATAAATACATCTACAAAAACCACCGGGGTACTCACCCCAGCACACGTCGCCCCGAGGGCACTAGCACGGGGCAGGCCCAGTGCCCCCGGACCCCGAGACGCGGCCTGCGGCTGTGGCCACGCAAGTGGCCCCCCAGCACATCTGAGGCGCAGGTGACAAACCCAGGCCGTGACCCAGACGCCGGGCCAGGGCTGGCAGGGCCTCCCGCTGCTCCCCAGAATCCCGCTGCCGACTCAGCCCCTGGCCGGGACAGCACGGGGGGCTCGGAGGCATGTGTGCCCTGCTGCGGGGTTCACAGGGCTCCCCGCAGTGCAGCAGGC